AATAATCAGCAATATGCTTTCACACAAATAACTTTATTTTTTGAATGTTTCAATATGTGTTGACACAAATGACTTATTTGAATTTTTCATTGATACAACATGGCACTGAGTTGTTAGAAAAGAAATGCGTAGAGATGTTATTGCTTGATGATGTCAGGAACCGATGAATCGGCTTTTTGAACCGGTTCAATGAGCCGATCTGTCCAAAAAGAACCGGTTCGCGGAAATGAATCGGACTTTGGATCACTACTCTCGGACTCTAAGTTTTACTTTTGGCAAATGGTAGACTTAAAAAGCTTTACTTAGATTTTAATTTTTGTACATTTTATTTGTGTGTGTCCTGGGTAATGAAGAAACTGATCACTCTGTAGTTGCCCTTTGCACACTCTGCCTCATAGACCAATTAGTGTGTCTTTATTACTACCAATTACTAACAGCTGCACTGATGTGGAGACAATGACTACAGACAGACTGTGTTTGAAATCAGCTGCCATGCTACACAGTTAGTCATTGATTTAACAGACAGCAGTTTTATGTGAAGGAAAGGAAACTGGGTTCAGGCCAAAGAGGTCTGTAATACCTGGAAAGAGCTGTCTGTTAGCATCTCTATTCATCTCAAAGGCACATGTGGAAGGATGCGTCATGCTTGCTGCCATCTTTGCTTAAGGGCACACAGTTGCGCTTACACATGCCTTCCCACCCACACAGGATTTTGGGATATTATCAATCTATGCCGTCTTAAAAAAATGACCAGGCATCTTAGTTGACTGGAAACAATGAATACATTGGATTCAGACATGCTTTGATGCCTTTCGATCTCAATATAGTGTAGGGCTGCAACTAACGATTATTTTGGTAATCGTAAACCACGATCATATATGAACATAGTTTAGCGCAGCTTGTCAGTGAACAACGGCTCTGTGTAGTAAATGTTGCTCCATGTGAAAGCCCGCACGTGATGGAGATTTACCACTGATTACAGAACCGGCTTTACTAACAAGATGCGCATTAAATATCGCATGCGATTTATCGTGCAGCCCTAATTAAAACCGTATTCGATCACAGAAATTTTAACAACTCAGGATAAATAAACACTGTCCAGCATAAAGCAAAGTTTTAAGTAACAGTCTCTCAGAAAAGATTCAATGGCATTTTGGTTTCATCCTCGCTCTATGTAATACCTAATAAA